GACACCAAAATGGCACGTACACAATGAAATCATCGTATCAAGGCCACCCTTAGAAATTCACATCCCGGTGTCTGATGTAAGTACGTAAGTTGTGGCATTTGTGTGATGCCATAGTCATGGGGATCTTCCCCATAGGCACCCATGCTTCTTTACCTTTTGTCTTCTGGGAGAAGTTACTGCCAAATTCCAGGCATTCTAAGATGAAGCTGATTTCCTGAATCCATGCAATCTTCCTATAGCCCAGTTTTGGGATGGCAAAAGCATGAGTCACTATGTGGAAGGATCTTCGCAGAGATAAAGAGATAGAAAGAAAAGGGGAATATCTTCCAGTGCTTTTAGACTTCTCACCAGCTTCTGACACTATTGACCATGCTATTCCTCTAGGCAGGCAATGTTTCGTCTTGATTCTGTACATGTTTAGGGAGCCATTACCAGAAGGTGGTGCTAGGAGATTATTGCTCTGTTCTGTGACAACTGCATCACATTGTTTCACAGGGTTTAAATTAAAGTCCCATGTTACTTAACATCTATACAAAATACTGGAGAGGATTATCCAAGTTTGTGGATTGGCACCATAAATATATGAATAATTCACCACTTCTCCATTGTCCTTCCTAGATGAGTGGCATTCTACGAGTACTACTCTCTTTGAAACATCAGTTCCATAGTTTGGGGACTTTGTCATTAGAGATACAAAAGCCTGGGTGTTTTCAAGTACCTTGTAGTAGCTTAGATGATATATTAGGGATTGCATAAAGTTTGTTATTCATGTTCCAAAATATTCCAGTTGGATTATGGTAATGAGGATTCACCCTAGTAAGGTTTAATTCCTCACCATCTTTCAATTCTTCGCAAGCTAGTTTTGAAAACATTTCAGGAACTTGAACCAGGCCCAAAGAATCTAAGATATTATTGATTGTGTAATATGATTAAGAATGCCACTGCTTTCTCTGTTGCATGGCTTCCAATCCCTTTCTAAATTCAGTCCAAATAAACTTTCAAGCATTACATGATCTTGGGGCAGGGTATCTAACAGAATATCACCTCCCATATGTATTTATCTGGATCCTTGAGTCCTCTTTAGAGGCCTTTCTCTACATGTCCTCACTGAACAAGTTAAGGAGGTGGCCACAAAAGAGAGGCCCTTCTTGGTTCTGTTGACTTGTCAAGAGAATGCCATCTACAAGAGACTTGCTGGTGCCCATCTTTTTTATGATTTTTTTTTCACCCAGGCATTCTAGATTTAAAATGGTTAAATGCCTGAAGAATGTAGGAATTGTATTTGTGTGTGTCTATACACATTTTTATATAGTATGCTATTGCTAAGCTATGGTTGTGTATTGTGTTTTTTTTTTCTTTTACTTGCTTACAATCTGGAGACACCAATAGAGGTGAATATGTGTAGCTCAGGGTTGAACTGTGGAGTCCTTGGGCTTCTCTAGGCTTGGTTGTTTTCTTGCAAAGGTTTCGTTACCCGGCTTGGTAACATCTTCAGTGCTAAAATGGGTTGGGGTTTGCTCTCTATTTATGTGCTGTGGCCTGCCTTGCCAGTGATGATCACCAGCAATCATAA